GTTGGGGCTTTGTGTTGTTGTTGTCATTTGTTCCCATATATTGCTGGGTCTCCATTTTAATTTGGTCATTTATCCATTGATTATTTAAGAGCATGTTGTTAAGCCTCCATGTGTTTGTGAGCCTTTTTGCTTTCTTTGTACAATTTATTTCTAGTTTTATACCTTTGTGGTCTGAAAAGTTGGTTGGTAGGATTTCAATCTTTTTGAGTTTACTGAGGTTCTTTTTGTGGCCTAGTATGTGGTCTATTCTGGAGAATGTTCCATGTGCACTTGAGAAGAATGTGTATGCTGTTGCTTTTGGATGTAGAGTTCTATAGATGTCTATTAGGTCCATCTGTTCTAGTGTGTTGTTCAGTGCCTCTGTGTCCTTACTTATTTTCTGTCTGGTGGATCTGTCCTTTGGAGTGAGTGGTGTGTTGAAGTCTCCCAAAATGAATGTATTGCATTCTATTTACTCCTTTAATTATGTTAGTATTTGTTTCACATATGTTGGTGCTCCTGTATTGGGTGCATATATATTTATAATGGTTATATCGTTTTGTTGGACTGAGCCCTTTATCCTTATGTAATGTCCTTCTCACAAATTAAGTCTACAAATGTACCCACCATTTCCCATGACAACCTTCAAGTATGTAAAGAGCAAAGAAGGGGTAATATTCACTGAAAATTTATGTTTAATGTTCTTTATGTTTAACCTGACGGCTCTATTAAACAGACTCTTATCATTCCCATTGCCCAAATGAAAAACCAAGACTCATAAAGGTCAGAGAACAATGTAGAGGTCATATAATTGGAGCTGCAATGAAATCTGAACCCAGATTTGTCACTGTAAAAAGGCCTTGTTTGTTTCCTACTCTCTGCCACTCCATGTCTTTCAGCAATTATAATATGTAGTTGATAAAAATTAATTTATTACAGTTATAGTAAAAGCATTATTTAGGGTCTTATTTAATAATAATAATACATACATTTTTAATTGTTCAGCATATCAGTAAGAAAGATAATCACTGTATCCAGTTTTGTTTATTCATAAACAATTTTAACTCTGAATGTGTTCCAAATCTAATGTAAAGTTTCGGACAGGTTCAAAATGAACAGTGATTCTAAAATGTCAGAATTATTTTAAGCAGTAAGTTATCTGCTTCAGAATTATAACTATCTGCTACAATTGCCACGATTATTGTACTTTATGGCATTAACTCTGAGACAGTGTAGTAAGTATTACATTACAGCTCATAAAACACAGTACTTATTTTTGGATATATTATACTTTTCCATTTAAACCATAGTTCTACAAATAAAAGAATAATCAAACCTAAAATTTTCTGTTAACACAAAAAGTTGAACAAAAGACAAACATAGGTTGACTTAAATATTTTACTTCAGCTGCGGCCTCTCCACTGAATTCAGCTCATGTTCAACTGATGACTCAACAAGACTACTGGCGGTGTGGTTCTTCATAGGTGCAGACTCAGGGCTCTCTCTCCCCTGCATTCCTCCCGAACAACCCCATCCTCCTGCAGACTTCCTCAACTCTGTCCATGGCAGCTCCATCTGCTAGTCACGTACATACTTCTCCTACACCATGTCTGTCAGCAATTCCTGCTCACTCCTCCTCCAACATACATCCCATATCCACCTCTTCCTACTTCCACGAGAGCCATTCGGGTCCTAGCCACTGTCATCTCTCACTTGGACTATTGCAGTAGTTCCTAACTGGTGTCCTGATCCCTACAGTCTATTCTCATTACAACAGCCACTAGTGATGCAAATAAAACCTACATCAGGCCATGTCATCCCTTACCCAGAATTACGAGCTTCACAACCCATTTAGAGTAAAGCAGCTGTCCTTAAACTGCCCATAAAACCCTATATGATTTGGCCCTCAGCTACTTCTCTGAACTTTTCTCTTGACTACTCTTTTTCCTGCTATTTCCAGAACACACAGAGATGTGCTCACCTCAGGACCTCTGTACTCAACTGTTCTCTCTATCTAGAACATTCCTTTTCCAGATAGTCAACATGGCTTGCTCCCCTATCTCCTTTGGTTTTCAATCCAAATGACAGCTTATCAGTAAGGATGTAACTTGTTATCTGTCTCTGCCCATCATAATGTAAACACCACAGAAACAGTTTTGTTTGCTACTACACTCTCNAATGTTGCCTGTACTGTCCAATATGGTAGTGTGGGTAAAACTGCAATATTTCCAGAATCTTTCACCTCGCCTTAGTGCATCTCCGTGTCAATAAGTGATTCCAAGGGGTGGAGAGTAGTCCGTGTCCATATCAACAGATGTTACAAGGGGGAGCAAGGGCATATCTGGACTGGAGGTTGGATGGGGTCCCTTTTTGCACCCAGGTCACAAGAGACATGGGCGATCAGAAGTGGATGACTGCTTGCAGGAAATAAAAGGATTTTTCCCACTTCTCCCTTTCACTGATTTTGGCTTCAAAGGTAATTTGCCTCAGGCTGGCAACATACTTTCCCCCCGGAGTTACATCTGGCATAGTTGGCAGGATGTCTGAACCTGAAATCTGTCCTCATGGGTGCAACGCTTGGGTGGGCTGCCCCTAGAGATGATGGGGAGGCCCCAGTGGCTGCTGCAGTAGGGAGTGACAACTCACCTCCAACAGCAGTGTGTGTGGGGGTGCAGCTTCACCTGGGAACACCCTATCTGTGGGGCCACCACTTGGGGAGCCCCTAGTGGGAAACTGGTCTAGGGTAAAGCATCTCCTAGATGGAGATAGTGGAAGCTCTGAAATTAGCTCTTCATGGGACAGAGGACTGCTTAGAGGCCCCAAATGGCCATGTAGCAGTCGGGATTGTGGAATGTTTGCTTCTTGAAATATGGAAAGGGTTACTGAGGAGAGACACACACTTTGGCGTCTCTTGGAGGAGCTGGGCGATGACCTATGGGATGTCCTAAAGAAAGAGAAAGCTATTGAGAAGACAGGTCATGCTCCTGGAAGATACATCAGCAGCAAGGGAGGAGGTGGCAGGAGAATCCACGTTGCATTTAACAATCAGTTGTACAGAAAAACAACAATAAGAAAAAGATGTCACAATGTACTTTATAATGCCTACTACAAAGGTGGTTCTCACTTTCAATGTTATAATGTATACTAAGTTGTTTGTTCTAACACTTAGAACGAACTAAGTGCTCTCCCACTAGAACATTCCTACTTCCAGCCAACGTTTTCATCAGCAGGGGAAGATGAAGTGGCAGGTGGTGTGCCAGGAAGTGGATATCTCAGAGGCCATTTGCTGATGCTGAGACCTGTCCGGTGTGCCTAGCATATGAGTGCCATCTTCTGCAGGTGTGGCATCAGGTGTGTAGCAACAGAAGTTAAGTTCGCGCCCTTGCAATATGGTGTCACTGCGAAAAGTGAGCGACTGATTTTTTCTACTTACTCTTCCGTTGCTGACAACACCCATTTCTCCAGGGTGCAATTTAAGTACATCTTGACAGAACAACTGGTGAGTTCGGAAAATATTCACTCCAACGGTATTATATTTTTTCACAAAAGCATTCTTATCCATCCCCTAAAGCACAAGAATGATGAAATTAACAGAACAGTAACTACATTAAATCACTGTAAAATAAAGCCTACTTTAATTAATGTATTAGTATGAAATATAAAACTATACTAAATTATGATTTTAAAAGTACTATTTTCTTCTGAAGCTATATTTTTACAAATCCTTATCAAGTCAGTTATATCTGTAAATCTTGTTACAAACAGACATAGATTGCTATTCATTCTTTGAGCATTTCAGATGGATTATCAGTCAAATGCTACACAGCATCAATTTAAGAAAAATTTAACAATGAAGAAATGAAATAAAATGTTTATTAAATCCTAAACTCAGCCCCCCCACCCCATTTTGGTGTGCTCGATAAAAAAGTGTTTAAAATAGTAATATACTATCTCACCCAATTAAACTAATATACAAAACCAATTTAGTGATAGTGTGCTTAATTTCTGAAATATAAAAGTAATCCTTCATCAGAGTCAAAAAATATATGGACATTCACAGAAAATAAAGCACACACAGGTTCTTTATACCTTCATACTAAGACACACTTCTCCATATCAGTATTTACCAAACTTAAAGGGGTCACCTGGGTGTCATGGTAAAATGGAGTTTCTACTTCAGCGAATTGCAGGAGGCCTTAAACTCTGAATTTCTACCAAGATTCTGGGGGCTCCTGTGATGACAGAAATGTTGCCTGTACTGTCCAATATGGTAGTGTGGGTAAAACTGCAATATTTCCAGAATCTTTCACCTCGCCTTAGTGCATCTCCGTGTCAATAAGTGATTCCAAGGGGTGGAGAGTAGTCCGTGTCCATATCAACAGATGATTACAAGGGGGAGCAAGGGCATATCTGGACTGGAGGTTGGATGGGGTCCCTTTTTGCACCCAGGTCACAAGAGACATGGGCGATCAGAAGTGGATGACTGCTTGCAGGAAATAAAAGGATTTTTCCCACTTCTCCCTTTCACTGATTTTGGCTTCAAAGGTAATTTGCCTCAGGCTGGCAACATACTTTCCCCCCGGAGTTACATCTGGCATAGTTGGCAGGATGTCTGAACCTGAAATCTGTCCTCATGGGTGCAACACTTGGGTGGGCTGCCCCTAGAGATGATGGGGAGGCCCCAGTGGCTGCTGCAGTAGGGAGTGACAACTCACCTCCAACAGCAGTGTGTGGGGGGGTGCAGCTTTACCTGGGAACACCCTATCTGTGGGGCTTCCACTTGGGGAGCCCCTAGTGGGAAACTGGTCTAGGGTAAAGCATCTCCTAGAGATAGTGGAAGCTCTGAAATTAGCTCTTCATGGGACAGAGGACTGCTTAGAGGCCCCAAATGGCCATGTAGCAGTCGGGATTGTGGAATGTTTGCTTCTTGAGATATGGAAAGGGTTACTGAGGAGAGACACACACTTTGGTGTCTCTTGGAGGAGCTGGGCGATGACCTATGGGATGTCCTAAAGAAAGAGAAAGCTATTGAGAAGACAGGTCATGCTCCTGGAAGATACATCAGCAGCAAGGGAGGAGGTGGCAGGAGAATCCACGTTGCAGGAGGCTGTGGGGCAGGGGGAGGAAAGAGTGGTGCCTTCAGCCCTGGAGATGGTAGAGGAGATGTCAGGAGAGGATGAGAGGGTGGGGCTGAAGCCTGATCTATTGCAGAGGCTGCTGCCCAAGGCACCCAGCCTCTTCTGTATTAAAGACCTGCCCAGTTCTAATTAAGAAAATAAAAACGAACAACCACGGGCTTCTCAGGGGAAGAAGCAGACCCTTCCCCAGTTGTGGAGCACTCCATGCTCCATTCCTATACCCAGGATGAGCTGGTGGACGTGAGCATCCGGTTTTGGCAGAAGCCGTTGGAACCTCTGCCTACGTGGCTTTTGAGTCTCTGGGATATGGGGGTGGAAAACATGGTTCTGTTGGGTTCTGAAATGGGTAGACTGGCTTATCTGACAACTCACCCTTCCCTTCACCCTTCCCTGCAAAGTGCCCATCACACCTCAGGGAATCAGGCACTTCTGGATTGGCTGACAGCAGCCATCAGAGCAGTTTGGCTGAATCAGGGTGATTTGCCATACTTACTCACTAGCTGGAAAACATATGTAGAGCTCCAGCAGGTATTATGGGAGCTGGGCATGAAAACTATCATCTGCAGTATGGACCCCCAGGGCCCTGATGAAGAGCTGTTCACTGTAGGAATGAGAAATCTGGTGCTCCACATAACTCCCCAGTCCCTCTTTGGGTTCCTAGTAACTATTCTTGTCCCCCAAATAGGGCAACCTGTAAGTGAGGCAACTCATACTTTATTTAGCAGATCTTGGGGAGGTTGAAACAATAAGAGCACAGAAGGAAGTACAGGTTATGACTGAAAGGAGAGGTGTAAAGGCCCTGTGAAGGTCTTGAGGACCCAGATGTGGGTTGATCTGATACAGGCCAGGGTAATGAAAGAAAAGCTGGATGGGCAGCCTAATAGGATCTTATTAGAACTGTGGCACCAATTAAAGCCAGAGCAGCAGTTCCAGCCGCTGAGGTCCAGGACACGGAAGCCGGAGGCAAAGTCCCATGTCTGGCCTGTGTCCCTGCAAGACTTTCTCTGGGACGGTACTCAGGCTCTGCCTGGACCCTCACTCCCACAGGAGGACAACTGGGCATTGCGGTTTCACTTAGGGGGTAGTAAAGGCCCCCACCAGGGGGATGTGGTGGGGACTAAAGGCTCTATGTAGAATTAGCATTTCATTGGTCCCCTATGAATGCACAATGTGTCCTGGTGCTGGTGGACACAAGAGCTGAAAGTTTTCTGATTTATGGCAACTCTGAGTGTTTTCCTGAGACCCCTGCTTTGATAGATGGCTATGGAGGTAAGGCAATCAGAGTGAAGAAAGCTCAAATCCTATTGGGAAAAATGCCCCAGAGGAGAATACTGTGTACATTTCTCCTATCCCTGAATATATTTTGGGGGTTAATATCCTGCAGGGCCTGTGGTTACAGACCACTGCAGGTGAGTTCAGACTGAGGGTACATGTGGTAAAGGCAGTTTTAAGGGGACACACTCAGCACCAGCCTGTAGCTCTGCCTGTACCTCAGTGGGTGACAAGTACTAAGCAGTACAAATTGCCTGGGGGACACAAGAAAATTGGAGGAACTCTACAGGAGGTGGAGGTAAAGCCCACTCATAGTCCTTTTAATTCTCCAGTGTGGCCAGTGAAAAGATGGACGGCTCCTGGTGTATGACCGTGGATTACAGGGAACTGAAAAAAGTCACACTCTGTTTGCAGGCTGCTGTCCCCTCTATAGCAGCCCTTATGGACACACCCAGTCATGAACTACGAAAGTATCATTATGTTGTGGACCTTGTTAATGCCTTCTTCTCTACTGACATAGCACAGGAAAGTCAGGAGCAGTCTGCCTTCACGTGGGAAGGCTGGCAGTGGACATTCACTGTCCTTCCACAGGGACATCTCCACAGTCCCACCTGTCACAGACTTGTAGCCCAGTACTTGGCCACATGGAAGAAACTGCAAATAGTGTGGCTGTATCCCTACATTGATGATATTATCCTCATAACTGATTCTCTTGCAGGTTTAGAAGGGGCAGTTCCTAGACTGCTGCAACATTTACAGGAGAAAGGATGGGCTGTGAACAGCACCAAGGTTCAGGGACCTGGTTTGTCTGTAAAGTTCTTGAGTTTTGTCTGGTAGGATAAAATTAAAGTTATCCCAGAAGCAGTCATAGACAAGACCCAGGCTTTCCCTACCCCTGCCACTATAAGCATTACAAGAGTTTGTGGGTCATTTGGGCACTGGAGAGTGTTTATCCCACACTTGGCACAAATTCTGAAGCTCCTATACCGGCTGGAATGAAAGGGCATCAGGTGGGACTGGGATAAGACATGTGCAGTTGCTTTGACTGCTGCTAAGTGAGGAGTCAAGGCCGTACAGGCCTTGCATGTAATGGACTCATCAAGCCCCTGTGAGCTGGATGTTCATGTAACCAAAGGTGGTTATGGATGGGGCCTTTGGCAGCAGCTTGAGTGGACACAAAAAACTTCTGGATTCTGGTCACAACTGTGGAAAGGCACAGAGGTCCGGTACACCTTGACAGAGAAGCCCCTGGCTGCTGTGTACCACACCTTGCTGGTATGGAGCCCATCGCTGGAACAGCTCTGACTAAGGTAATAACCACCTATCCCATTGCAGGATGGGTGACTGACTGGACCTGAGAGCCACAAGTGGTGTGGCACAGACGCCTACACTGGCCAAATGGGTGTGTACTTACAGCAGCATAGCTCCCTTTCTAATAGCCCCTTAAGCAGAGAACTCCAATGCTTACTGGGGCCAGAGACGTAAACCAGCGGAAGGCACAAAGAACTTTTGAGCCATTGGTAGCCAAGAGTGCTTATCAGGAGGGAAAAGCCCCTATACCTGAAGATGCTCGGTATACAGATGGCTCCAGTCGTGGGGAGCCCCCAAAGTGGAGGGCTGTGGCTTTTCATCCTAGGACTGAGACAATATGGATGAAGGAAGGAGAGGGGAAGAAGGGTCAGGGGCTGGGCTGTGGGCTGTATGGCTCGTGATCACCCAGGAACCCTCCCTCACAGTGGTGCACTGACAGCTGGGCTGTCTATCAGGGCTTGACCCTGTGGCCACCGACACGGTACCAGGCCAGCTGGATGGTTGGTCACCGTTCCCTTTGGGAGAACAGACGGGCTGAAAATGGGCGCCTGGAACATTCTAACATGTAGAGGTACAAAAGAAAGGATGATTCATTATGTTTTCCCATTTAAAGGAATGCTTATTATCCCCAGTTGATTTTATACATATCCATTCATGTTTTTTCAGTAACATGCTATCTCCAAACACACTGACTTATACTTTTTGAAATATCCAACAGATATTTATTATTTCAAACAAATAGCTACTGACCTCACTAAGGAATGCTTTGATTTTATCTCCAGAGTAAATAGCTGTAGCAATTTTTTCTGTTGAGAATTTCCAAAGAAGGTTTCTCAAAAACCTGTTTTTCTGTGTAAGAAAAGCTGCCAAAATTCCTCTAGAAATAACTGTGTTCTCCTCATTTATTTTTGATGTAGGATTATAAATTACTCCCAACCGGCTGTGAACACTTGTTTTCTGCAAAACACATTTACAGATGAAAAAGATCAGTATCTTACATACCTTTTTACAGTTGAACTTTTTCTTTCCAATCAAGTTCTACTTTACCATACAGCATCTCCACCACCAAAATCTTCCTGTGTTGATTGTACCGCATAAGGCACACCACTGAAATAGCCTAAAAACAATCATTTTAGTAACTCTAATTGCTTCACCTCATTGTGTAACAGTTCTTTTATAATGCAGTACCATGTTTAACCTCTTTTTGTGTTTCTGTGTGTGAAATAACACACATAAAAAAATACACAGATGAAGAACTTAGTGAATTAACCATAAAACTATCACCTCGGTCAAGAAATAGAGCACTATCAGCACCCCAAAGATTTCATTCATGTTCCTTGCAATCACTACACCTCCCCCTTTATTAGATGACCACTATTCTGCCCTTCAGGGTAATACCATTCTTGCTTTTCTTTGTAATTTACCACTTAAGCTGGCATCATTAAATATAGTTTGAACTTCACATAAATGGAATCATACAGTTTGTATTCTTTTGTACTCTTTTTCCATTCAACTGAATGGTTCTGAGATTCAATATTCTTTTGTGTAGTTGTAGTTACTTTTTTTTTCTGTACTGTACAGAATTCCATGGTGTGAACATACTCTTCTCTCATCCATCCATTTGAATTTTTTCTCAGTTTGGTGCTCTACAAACACAATATGTGTATCTTCAACTTTAGAATATGTTAAACAGCTTTTCAAAATAGTTGGACTAGTTTTCATTCCTACCAGCAACACATGAGAATTCCATTACCCCCACAGACTCGTAGTATTTTGTACTGTTAGACTTTTTGATTTCAGTTGTTCTGGTAGGCATGTAAAGAGATCTCATCAAGGTTCAGTTTGCTTTTTCTCATTACCAGTGATATCAAACATCCTTTAACATGTTTACTGGCCTGTTCTCTGATTTGCCTGGGTAATCTTTTATCAGTATTTTCCTGGAGATAATTACCTTTTTTCACTGACTTATAGGGGTTTGATTTCTAAGACTTGAGTGCTTTTTGGGTTTATGTGTGTAGAGATAACTTCTGCCGTTCTGTGACCTGTCTTTTTATTCTCTTGATGGTGTGCTCTGGAAAAAAATAGTCCTTAATTATAATGGGATTGAATTATTGGTATTTTACTTCATGGCTACTGGGTTTTACATTCCATTTTAGAAATCTTGCCCTACACTGAAGTCATAAAGATAACCTATGTTATCTGAGAGACACTTTACTGTTTTGTTTTTTTATGTTTAAATCTATAATCCATCTGGAATTGATCTTTGTGTATGATTTGAAAAGGAGAAGGTTTAAAAGACAACCCATATTGTTCTAAAAGGCCAACTTTATCATAAAGCAAGTGTAATATATGCATAGGTCTGTCTCTAGGTTCCCTGTTCTTTCTCTCTTGCTCTATTTTTCTGTGCTAATGCCAAACTGTCTTTAATTATACAGCTGTACAAAGATCTTGATATCCAGCAGACCATTAATTGTGTCTTATTCCTCTTTAAGAGTATTTTAGCTATTCTTGGTCTTTTGAATATCTATGTAAATTTGAGAACCATCTTGACAATTTCCTTTAAAAATGCTGAGATTCATACTGGAATGACACTGAAGCTATACATCAATTTTAGGAGAACTGACTTCTTTACAATATTGAGTCTTTCAATTCATGACTATGGCATATCTCTCCATGTAAGTTTATGAATTTTCTCTTAATATTTTATTGTAGAAAAGCTTTAAACATATTTTGTTATATTTATGCCTAGTATTTGATATTTTTGATACTATTAAAAGTGATATATTTATTTTAAAATGCATTTCTCCTTTGCTACAATTCTTAAAAGACTTTACTTTTATATACTGAACTCCTGGTTTAAAAATAAACTCATCCTGGGCAGTCTGGAAGACTGTGTGCATGCCATAGGTTAAATCTTCTCAGGAGTAATTAGAAAAGGAAATTCCAAGATACTGTTTCATAGGTGATGTCGGGCAAAAGCATAAAATCCCTGAACTCTGAAAGTGGCCTCTAACATCCAACAGTAAAGGTGAAAATCTAAGTGACTACAAAGACTTATGCACAGACTTTGACCAATAAAGGACTTTTGCTGATCCAGAGGCAATCCCTAGGACGCCAAGATAAAAGATTAAAAAAAAGAAAAAAATCTGGGTTGTAACAGAGATATACAATGAGAGGGAAATAGACCATAGAAATAGTTGAGTCACATAACTGAACAAACATATGACCAAATAACAAGTAGCTCTGGGGATGAAGGGATATCAGTATCCAAATATATTACAGAATTATCTAAAATGTTTGTTTTCAATAAAAAATGATGAGATATACAATGGAACAGAATAGTGTAATTCATACAAAGAAAAAAACCAGGTATTAGAACTGTATTGAGGGGCCTTAGATGTTCAACTTAACAGACATAAAAATATATTCAAAGAGCTAAAGTAACCATGTCTAAAGAATTAAAGGAAGGTATGATTATATACTGAAGCTATACATCAATATATACACTGTGTATGATTTGAAAAGGAGAAGGTTTAAAGCCAGCTGCCAACTTATTACATAGATAATAAACAGATAGAAAAAAAAAGAACCAAATGGAAATGGAAATCCTGGGGTTGGAAGCATAGTAACTGAAATGAAAAATTCACTAGAGAGGTTCAACAGGTTTGAGTCGTCAAAAGAAAGAATCACTGAACTTAAAGTCAATGGAGACTCTACAATCTGGAGAACAATATAAAAAGAAGGAACAAAAGTGAACAGATCCTCACAGAAATGTGAGATACTGTTAAACATACTGGCATTGGCCTGCAGGGACAGCTGTATACACTACTGGGGAAAGGCGGTTTGTCAGCCTCTCAGAACAGGCTGCCAGAGGGTCCTGAGAACAACAGGAAGGAGGTGGGGGTGGCTCCACAGATCCCAAACGACCTTCCTGAAATGTCCTGGTCTGCAGTCCACTGAGATAGGCCAGAATGAGTTCTGAGATCGTCTATGATAAGAAAATTCTCCTGGCAGATGTTATGTGTCATTTAAAAAATACTGATTATTGTTAATGTATAGCAAGCCTCCAAGATGGCCCCAAATAATCCCCACTTCTTGGTACCTATGCTCTTGTATAGTTACTCCTTGTACTGAATAGACGTAAATAGGACACTGTAGCGAATAAGACATTGTAGAAGTACAGTGTGTGACTTCTGAGGCTAGATCATAGGAGACGTGGCTTCTCTATCCCTTTATTACTGATTCTGGAGAAAGCCAGGTGCCATGTTGTGAGGACACTTAAGCAATACTAAAAAGGTATCTATGTGGTAACAAAATGAAGCATTTGGTTAGTACCCAGTGAAAACCTGAGGCCTCCTGCCAACAGCCGTGTAAGTAAGCCATCTTCCAAGCTCATCCTGCAACCCAGTCAAACCTCTGATGATTTAGCCAAAATCCTGACTTATCCTTATAAGAAACCTAAGCCACAATCACTCAGCTAAGTTACTCCTGAATTCTTATGTCCCAGAAACTGAGAAAATACTTGCCTATTGTTTTAAGCCATTAATTAATGGGTAATCTGTTATACAGAAGTAAATTTACGCTTGGCACAAAACAATTTCATAAAATATTTTGGTTCATTTCTCAGGTGTTTTTATCTAGACAGACTTTTGTGTTCCTTTTGAAATACAGAATGTTATAAAATAGTACCATTAAAGATTCAAGATGAGAGATGAGACAGAGAACTTCTCTCAAAACCACATACAATGTGAAAATATAGTTAATACAACGAGTCCTAAAACAGCAACAGGAAATAAGGCTGCACCAGACTGCACACAGACCTCACAAACAGAGCAGACATCATGAAACAGGGTGACGTATGAAAGCCTTGATCCGGTGGGACCCAAGCCCTTCCCCTACCTCAGTTCACCAGTGGGAGGAAGAGAAACAGAGTAGGAAGGGGTGGAAACCTAAGACTGGTGAACACCCAGCCCTGGAGGTCAGCTTTGGAGCACAAACCTACATTGTGTGGAGCTCTGGAGGTTGATGGGGTTGGGGACCTGGGACAGGTAGAGTGCTTGAGAGACTGAGATTTCCGGCCATTTGTGGAGGACGGGGATCCACATCTGGCTGCTCTGGGGTAAAGGAAAGATGGGCAGTCTGACAGGCTTCCTAGCAGTAAGAGGGATGCTGAAGGGGTGGTGTTTGCACAGAGCTTGCTGCATGGGAGAAGGGACAGGTGGACAACGTTGTCTGGGTGCACTCTGCCCAGCAGGTTGGGAACTTTGAGGAGCTTCAGGCACTCCATCCCCCTGGCGGCCTACTCAGCTCCAAGGCCCCCCACTGTGACACGTAGCCTGCTGCACCTTCATTCTGGCCTGCCAGCACCTGCTCGCAAACTGGCAGTCACTGCACTGGCATCAGGCCAGCCAGAGGGAGGCCCCGCCTATGACAGCTAGAGACACAAAGCACAGAGGCTGACACCTGTCTGCTCGGCCCACTGGCTCTGACACTGGAGACAGACACCACAGACGGGAATCAGGAAACAGCTCCTTCCTCCCCTCAGGCACCAGTGCTGCTCCCCTGTGACCCCCAACCTCACTCTAGGGGCTGAGCAGCTCCAGAGACTGGAACTTCTGGGCACCACACAGAAATATGAAATGTCAAAAGAACATGGTTCAGACAAAAATCTCACAAACTGCAGGAAAAGGACAAAATGAAACTGAACTCACCAATCTTTCTGAAACAGAGTTTAAAATAAAAATCATAAACATGTTCATGGAGGTACAGAAAAATATTCAAGAACTCAGGGATGAAATTAAGATGGAGATCCAATCATTAAGAAATTCCATATCTGAAATGACACAAACAATGGAGGGATTTAAAAGCAGATTGGATGTAGTAGAAGAGATGGCAAATGGAATAGAAATAAGAGAAGAGGAATACAAAGAAGCTGAGGCACAGAGAGAAAAAAGGAT